ATTTAATGATACATGTTGGCATTACATGACCAAACTTTGAATTTTATTATTTTGAACGAGGATATCGGGACATAGTTGTTCTGCCTCACAGGCGTCCATGTATCTACTTCAGCAATCACCCACAATACTACATTGTCAAGCCCCTGTGTATTCTGATTACACCGGTAAATGATATATTGTAAGTCAAAATTCAAATTACACTTAATTTTCCCGCCCATGCATTGGACGTTTAATTTTCAAATTAGACTCTCGATAAACTATTAATCCGCCGATGATTATTGAAAAACGTCACCCGAATTACTTCTGCGAAAGTTTATGTTCAAAAATGCATCATCCGATCACATAAGGAAAGAGACCAGTTGGGCGTTCTTGTCTGGTCATCAAGGCGCCATCATTCATATCTTGAATTGCATTTTGTGATACACTTTTGATGTTCACGGAGCCTCGGTATTTGTTAATGACCACAACGGAGTCAACAAATTTGACAGACTTAAAATCATTGATAAGGTTCAGCTAAAAGCATTCAGAATGCCCGTCCGAGTGAAATATTCAAGTAAAAGCAAAATGGAATTTTAAATGACGGCTGGTGCAGATGGACGAGGGGCGCTCGTCACATAAACAGATCACCGTCACACCACGCCTCCCCATTGACCGGCTACCAAACCTTTCATTCTAGTTTTAATTAGTCTCATAACTTACCGGGTTATGATTTTCCTTGCTTACAAATCATATATAATATACCAGCTGTTTCCGATCAAGGAATTGTGACGAATTAGCCAGAAAATACTACCACATTCCAACTTCAAATTTCCATGCGTATACCGCTAATAATGTTCGGATATATTCGGATTTCGGACAACTTTCAGCTTACCGATAAAATCCTAATATGGTATATGGATACATCAATTATTGTATTAGGGATGTAAGGTTTACAAATCGCGAGGACCTGGAAATATTTTACTCGTACTACTGCATGAGAACAACTGTATATATATATATAAAGATACGTGTAAAATAAATAAATTATAAAACATAACGTCGGCAATTTCAACAGGGAAGCATGTCTGTACATGTCCCTATCTGTCACGGTGATTCACCCCTACGTCACACCTGAACTACTTATTCAACAAGATGAGCCAATCACAGAAAATATTTAAATTTTCAGATTGAGTTCCCGCCATTTTGATTTCATTGGCGCGAGTTTCCAGCTTAAAGTGTAAATATCTGCGCAATAGAGTCGATATACTTGAACCATCCGTAATAATCCTCTTTTAAGCTGCTAATATTCACGATCATCTAGTCTCGGTTATATATTTGAGTTACTTCTTCTCTAGTTCCGCTGTATATTTTGTTGTATCGTCACTATATAACAATGTTTGAGGCAAAATTGGTTCAGGGCTCACTTCTGAAGAAGGTCCTAGAAGCGGTAAAAGATTTGCTAACCGAAGCTAACTGGGACTGTTCAGCGACCGGTGAGTTTCACAATTTCCTAGTCAGATTCCAACCCTTTGTAATCGGTTAATCATGTAATCAGTAATTATGCGATATTTGTAAATCGAAGTGTTGTTTTGGTTTGGTTTGGTTTTGATACATTTGAAGGATTAGTGACGCACTACATTCCTGCTGACCTTGCTAAAACTGCGATCGTTCTTTTACGAAGCTGAATTTTTGTCTCATTTTGTCTTTTTGTGCTGTTCGGAATCGTTCAGTAAACAGAACGTCTCGCTAGAGGTTTGTCTATATCGTCAGCCCATCCACTGCAAGAGAAACCCGGTGACTAGTAAGGATTATCGGCAATCGACCAAAACCTTTCTTTCCGGTTTAGTTTTGTCATCCTGTCACCGAATCAACTTCTTTCCGAAAAAAAAAATATTTCCATGAGTTATAAAAAAAATATCTGTTCAAAAATGCCCATAAACTGATTTCAATGCTGAATTTCATAGATTTGACAGCTCTGTTCGTCCCAAATATCTCTGCATTGAATTTCCCCGCCAAATCTATGCAAGGGCAAAGGTCACCCAACAGCTGATTCTATTGTGAGCTGATCTAAGTAAAAACTGTTAACAGCTGCAGATGCCTCATTAAAACATGTAAACAATGCTTTGTACTTTTGTTTTCTTTTGATCAATACAAAGCTCAATTCATTGGTTATTGACCTCAACTGACCTGATCTTAAGTCTAAAACAATGAAGCTGGTGCCTTGTCTCAAAATAAAATGGCAATACATAGCATGCAGATTTCTTGACTGTATGAAGTCTGCCTCAATTTCAGTCCAGCCTGACAATAATTATTTAATAATTATAAGCATATAAATTTAAATATAATTATAGTTAAAATATATTTGGTCACTACTTGAGGGTTGAAATTTAAATTACCTGTGTATCAACACTGTATTTTTATACTGTGCTACCTCAAATGATTTTGTTATTTTGGTAGGAAGGGGGTAAATAAATAATACTGATCAATTTGAATTTCTGTCTCAAGTTTGGCTAGAATGGTTTTATCCATGATCTACTAATATTTGTCTAGAGCAATGTTTTAGTACTAGTCATGCTGCATTGATGTAGAATAAAGATGTGTAGCAGTCTCCGGAAAATACGATCACTGGTGATAACTTTGTTTTTACTTCTCACAGGTATGTCCCTACAGGCCATGGACAGCAGCCATGTCAGTTTAGTGTCATTATTGCTCAAAAGTGATGGATATGAAAATTACAGATGTGACAGGAACATTACCCTGGGCATCAACCTTGGCAGGTATGTAGTTACGTTTGGGAATCCATTGCCCACAAGTGTGTGTGTGTGTGTATATGTATGTATGTGTGTGTGCATCATAAAGCGTCAGCAGCCATTTTCAAACCAATACTTGATGAAATATAGGGTTAGAATTATAGATGTCTGAAGGGGCAATGCTACTCTCTCGTATTGCCTCCCGTGTATGGGAATAATATAATGAATATTAGTACTTTTGAAGGGAGCTTCACCAAGGTGTAAGCTAACCTATGGAAGGTAAAAAAAAATGTGGTTCTCGTAAACTACCCTACCCTAAATAATTTATTGTAGACCCTCTACTGTTTTTTGCCAAACATAAAAAAAGAAAATAGTGTGATATTACGCAAGATTTCAGTTTTCAATGAACCTTTACTATTACACAGAAGTTAGTGTAATAATCATTTGTGAACATCAATATACTAAAAGTTTAACTAGTCTGCTAGCTTAGAACAAAGAAAGTGTTTCACCAATTGTAAATTGTCTAGATTTATCTGCAACAGATAATATTTTACCAAAGTGTACGTTACAGTAGTATAATACAGTTTCCAAAGTTGATTATTTATATACAGTTTGTTTAAAATTTCATTACTTAGCATCAGATCATGCAATTAATTTGTGAAGACATTAGTTTATAGCAGTAAACAAACACTAAAAGAGATCAACATGTTTATAACTGACATTAAAATAATTTTTCATGGACTTTGTTCAGACTGAATTTCCTTGGGATTCACAACAAACCACAGCAAAGTAAAGCAAGGCAGTTTTAGATTTGAAAACATTATTTGCCTGCACTTGTTGTCCATGTTTCATTTGACATGATGTACCATTTTCTACGATTATGTAAATTATTTTTAGAAAAATATTGTAATTGTGACAAATGCTATTCTCTTCAGTTTGTGAAGATAACTGTCGAATAGAAACAATGTAGTGCAGTATAACAGATGAATGAAGCTAGATACTTGTGTTGACAAAAATATTCATCAAAATTAGATAATTGAAGATATCACAATATGAAAAAATCTGAGAGGTCCACATGTAGTACCTATATATGTAATATCAAAGCAATTGGACTTGCTGTTTTTAACAAGAAGTTAAAAATATCACTTTTTACCAAAAAAGACAATATTCATTAAAATTAGAGAATTGAAGATATCACGAATTCTAAGAGGTCTACCCAAGGTACATGTACACCAAGTATCAAAGCATTCAAGCTTGTAGTTTTCAAGAAGTCGAAAAAGTAAAAAGTTGATACGGATGACGACGGACAATCATTCGTATGATAAGCTCCCCTCGACAAAGTTGACAGCGGAGCTAAAAAATGAAAGAATAATTAAACTTCATGTCTAGGCTTCTTTGAACAATGTATTTTGCTAGGTCTTAAGAGAATTTAATTTTGTGCCTACTCTGTGTACTTTCAGTATGTCAAAGATTCTGAAGTGTGCTGGAAATGAGGATGCAATCACTATTAAAGCACCAGATACAAATGCTGATACTGTAACATTCCTATTTGAGTCTCCAAACCAAGAAAAAGTATCAGACTATGAGCTGAAGTTGATGGACATTGACTCTGAACATCTTGGCATTCCAGTAAGTGTGCGCTGGATTTCCTCTATTAGAAGTGCTGACATGGCTTGATTTGCATGAATTAGAAGTAAACATTTCATTTATGTTACTAAATACTTGTGAAATGAAAAAATGTTAAACTATCTGAAGTGTATCGGTACAGATTGCTTTAATTCAAGTCTTTATCCTGCTTTATGTAAATTGGCTCCACTCGTATACTGCCCTCAACATTATGTTTGGAGTGTATAAAAGTGTACGTGAAAAATGTGGATATATTTTCATTGCAATTTGTGCAACTATTAATGCTTCACATATGAACTTAATTTAGTCTTGATCGTAAAATTAGAGTAGCAGGTAGAATAAGTAACATAACTGGCTGGTGTTGTATTGTTTTTCACATCTGCAATGATTAACCTTTTCACCACCAGTTTCCACTTTTCATCACAAATCAACAAAATAGTCCTGTTTAGTCTACACTTTCGTTTCGAAAAATGGGACAAAAAAAGCCAAATGTTTTTAGTGAAAATTGACTTAAATTATGTTTGTTGGCTCCAAAATTGTGGTTCTTTTGCAGAAATATTGAATATTAGAAAAAGGTGCCAAACAATTTGGGCGAGAGAAAGTCTGGTGATGAAATAGTTAACCCTTTGATTATCATTGTTTGACTTTTGACAGCAGCAAGAAAATGAGTGTGTAGTCTGCTTTTCCCCACATGTAATGTTGATAAGAATTGACAAACCTTTTGATAAGAGGCAAAATCTGTAACTGTCTGTATGATCCAAAATAAAAATTTAGTGAAAATATTTGTCCTGAATTTCAGACAGGGAAAATTATCTGGCAATCAAAGGTTTAACATGAACAAGACTGATTCAGTTTTTCCACTCCCTTGCTACAAATGTAGTGGTTTGCAGAGGTAAAATCACAGTAGCATAGTTGGAAATTACTGGAATCAAGTCATACTTTGAATTTCAAAATGACTAATGTAAAATATAAAATGTACTTTTCTTTCAGGAAACTGACTACAGTGCTGTAGTGACCATGCCATCTCATGAATTCCAAAGAATTTGTCGTGATCTTAGTCAAATTGGAGAGTCGGTGATAATATCATGCAACAAGGAAGGTGTTCAGTTCTCTGCTAGCGGAGACTTGGGAACCGGAAATATTACACTAAGACAGAATACGAGTGTGGACAAAGAAGAGGAACATGTAAGACTTATTTCCAATCTGTACCAGTGTGCTCTCTAAGCTACTTTGATGTATCGCAAATACAGATGCAACTAATTATGCTAATTCCCTGGCATAAAATGAAATTCACATTTTATGAACAAAACAAGTGTAAAAGAAAATTCAAGGCCACATAGAATCTTTATTGATCCTTGATGACCTTTTCTAAGTAACCAATAAGCTGACCTAACTTTATTTTTGGGAATTTCAATTTCAGTGTTCTCCCCAGAAAAATGTATCAGAGTGGCGGCTAATTTGCATATAATTTACATATCATTAGCATTTGTCTGAAGATAAAGAAAACAATAATGACAGGCTTGCATGGATGAAAATGTGTCTTTATTTT